GAACATGGTCTCTTCAGACACTTCCTCCAGGAAAGAAGCCAATTGGCTGCAAATGGGTATACAAGATCAAATTCAAACTCGATGGTACTGTCGAAAGCTATAAGGCCAGGTTGGTAGCCAAAGGATACAACCAAATAGAAGGATTAGATTACAGTGAGATCTTTGCTCCAGTTGCAAAGCTTGTGACTGTTCGCCTCCTCCTTACTGTGACCTCAACCCAACATTGGCACCTTCACCAACTTGACGTCAACAATGCTTTCTTACATGGAGATCTAGATGAAGATGTCTACATGACTTTACCTCCTGGTTTCGGACGAAAGGGGGAGACAAGAGTTTGCAAGCTTCACAAATAATTGTATGGTCTCAAACAAGCATCTCGCCAATGGTTTATCAAACTCACCACTGCCCTCAAACGAGCCAACTTCAAACAATCAAAGGCCGACTATTCCTTGTTCGTCCGATCCCAAGATGATAAATTCACTACTCTCCTTATTTATGTAAATGACGTCATCCTTGCAGGAAATAATCTACAAGACATTGAAGATACCAACTCATTTTTAAGAGATCAATTTAAATTGAAGGACCTTGGGCAATTGAAATATTTTCTTGGAATAGAAGTTGCACGATCCAACAAAGGCATTGTTCTTTCACAACGAAAGTATGCTCTCGAAATTCTCGAAGATGTTGGTTATCTAGGGGCCAAACCAGTCTCTTTTTCCATGGAGCAAAACTTGTCCCTTAGTAAGTTTGATGGGGACTATATTAGTGATCCTTCTTCATATCTAAGGCTTGTTGGACGACTAATTTACTTGACTATCACACGACCTGATTTGACATATGCGGTACATGTTCTAAACCAATTTATGGACAAACCACGAGTCCCACACCAAGAAGCAGCTTATCGTGTATTACGTTATGTGAAGCAAACACCATGTCAAAGAATTTTTCTTCCTACAGATAGTTCAATCCAATTAAATGCATTTTGTGATGCGAATTGGGCCAGATGTCATGATACTCGACGATCTGTCACTAGGTATTGTATATTTCTTGGAAGTTCATTAATTTCCTGGAAAACCAAGAAGCAAACTACGATATCACGATCTAGCGCAGAAGCTGAGTATCGATTTATGGCTGCAACTTGTTGTGAGATTACTTGGTTGAAATACATCCTACAAGATTTGGGCATCCAACACTCACATCCTGCCAATCTATATTGTGGCAATCAAGCGGCACTACATATTGCTTCAAACCCAGTTTTTCACAAGTGAACAAAACATATAGAAATTGATTGTCATCTTGTACGGGAGAAGGTTCAAGAAGGAATGGTCAAAATGACTCATTTATCCACATCACACCAGCCAGCTGACATCTTTACAAAGCCGTTGAGTTCTTCACATTTTTCGACTTTACTTGGCAAGTTAGGAATTATCAACATATATTCCAAACTTGAGGGGGAGTGTTAAAGAATTAAAAGTGAATCAAGGCACAAAGTCAGGAATGTCCTTCAATCATCTCAGTCAACCACCATCAATTGCTGTTAATGTATTTTCCATTTATCCAGGAGTATGAATAGGCAATGACAATGTATATGCTTTGTTTTAGGACCTAAATTGATTCTCGTATGATGTATATATATACCTTATTATTTCTCAATGAAATACACAAGAATTATTTTCCTTTTCAGAAGAGATAATCTGTTTTGGTAAACTTTTTGTTCATCTAGATATTATATCAAGGGCAGTTTAAAAATGCAGAAGAAAATCATTTCTAGCTAGCATGACAAATGTGCTTGTATGTGGGAATGTACATTTTTTTGTTAATAGGTCTATTAAGATGAATTATGAGATGATCTTTCAAATTTCTCCCGATTAACGTACGAGTCAATTATTCAGTGCATACACCATGGCAACTGTGTAAGCAAAGTTGAGTTACTGTTTATCAAAAATCTAAGGTGTTGAGTGTAATTTCTATACAACTATAGAGCAAACATGACAACAAGGGAGTCCATTATATGACTACTTCAGCAAAGTGAGAGGTCCTGCAAAAGGATCTTCGGACCATTCTTTACTTGCTTTCCTAAATTTTATATCAATATGGACATTCTGAACTTCAGGGATAGAACCAAGAATTTATTTTTTGTTACCTTAACATTATATTATGATTCATAACTACCAAGAAGTTTCCATTTATCAAATTTGAGCACGAAATCTGTGTCATAAACAGTTCCCTCATTTATCTGCCGTATGCTAAAATGTATGTGTTGATCAACTTCTCCAGCATCTCCACTTGTTATCTCTTATTGGGTATGTAATATTGAACTAGTTTTTCCAAGTAGAACTCCAAATTACATTATATATCAAGAGACATAATGGTGGACATGTTACAGAGGATGTGATTCCGAGGTTCAAAAACTAGTCTAATCCAACAAGAAAACTAATTATTTTTCGTTTGATTGTGATGATTTTCTTAGGTGTTGAAGTTCAACCTCACTGAATCTGGATGCTCTGCGTGCTTCCACGACTGACCATGGTCGTGTTTGCTAATATAGGTGGTTGGATTGCAGATTCCCTTATCAGCAAAGGACTTTCAATTACTTCAGCTCGTAAGGCAAGCATTTAAGTTTCTAGAATCTCTGAATTAGCAAGCCATCTTTTAACGGTGTTAACTCGTTCTGTCAATATATTTACCAGAAGTCTCTGCCTGCTTGATTTTATTTTATATTTTTTTTTTTTTCAAATATTAAATTAGGCAGACATTCTATGATGCAGGGACAGTCCTACAAGGGTGATGTGCCCGTGTTGGACACTCCTCCTAATAGCCACTTACTGAGTCCTTTTTTTGTTTATTTTTTAATTTTCAAAGCTTAAGAATACTTTAAGTACACTTTTTGGGCAAGCGTTCGACATGTCGTGTGCTATGTTCTATGTGAAAAGCATAAATTTTTTTCATAAAAGCTAAAATTTTAAAGAATTTAGACTGGCGCGTCCCCTGATATCTATTTCCTACTTTTTGTCTCATATTTCATGATCAAGTGTTGGTATATCATATTTTCCCCATTCCCAGAATGACTCTCCATTGTTACTGTCACAGATAATGCAGTCAAGTGGGTTTTTAGGTCCTGCCTTCTTTCTAATACAGCTTAAGCAGGTGAAGACCCCTGCTCTAGCTGTGCGATGCATGGCTTGCAGTCAGGTATGAACTGTTTTGTAATTTGACTATTTCTTTGAATCGCATAACTAAATGTAAATTGTTTGTGCTTGTACCAAAGAGATCGGATGCATTCTTATGGTCTGGACTGTACTCCATTTGGTTTCATAAATTGTTATTGCTAGGATTTGGCGAGATTTTTCAATTTTTGGTAGTCCCTTTCAATAATTACCGAAGCCGACTGTTTCCCACTTATCATGCTGAAAATAGTAAACTACGTTTGCTTTTTACCCTAAGTTGAAAAATATACTTCTATATTGCAGGGTGTACTGTTGGCACTATCTAATACAGCCGGTGTACTGGCTGGCGTACTTTGTACCGTCACAACTGGATACATACTCCAAAAGGGTACAACAAAACCCCGTACTCCATTTTTGTGCATGCTCGTTTTGTGCTTTGTAATTAAAATTGACTCCCGGTTTCTCATTTCGATTGATTCTTGAATAATAACTTTGCAGGTTCATGGGACGACGTGTTCAAAGTGGCTGTTGTACTGTACATCATAGGCACATTGGTGTGGAACTTCTTCTCCACAAGAGAGAAAATTCTGGAATAGATTGCCATGAAACTATTGGAAGATCTGCTAGATAGCTACAGAGATACAGCATAAAGACATGAGGGACATAATAACATTGGTCAATGAATGCTTATGGGAATGAAAAGGAGAAGCGAGTCAATAACAATAGAACACAAATATTTTCATACTTCTTACCATGTTGAATCACCTCGACCGCTGCTCTTGATGACTCTCAGATAGGGAAACAACCCGCAAGTTGATATGAAGCTCCCTGCCCTAAGTTTATGCCGAGATAGCCAAATCTATAAATGTTAATGGGAGAATGTCCCGACTATTGTTTTCTTTAACTCATTAGTTGTTTCAATGCTTGAACTATCAGCAAAACTGCTGTGGACATCAACATTTTGTACTGCAGAGTATGATTTCTGTTTTCGTCAATTTTTTGTTGGTGTGTTTCAACTGATAGATATATGTAATTACTGTTAGGCCATCTACTCGGGTGGGGCCGGTTACCCGAAAATTGCAGACTGCTCTAGTCCTCGGCCGATGGGACCCGCACAGGCCGTTTTACATCTCTAGATACAACAGCATGGAGGTTGCTAAATCAAATTGTCATTGGTTTGGATTTGTTTTCCTCTTTGGAAGTAAAAAAATAATCGTTGGCCTTCAACAAACGAAAAATGACAAAAGTAGGTCATGCTAGTAAAATTACAAGTTTCCAGAATTGCAACTCCATAATGAGCTGCTAAATCAATAAGTTGTTGCAAAGATGTACTTCTCTAGTATTACAAAAATTCAAAACACATATTCAGACTGCCTATATGATATGATTGTAGTTCATACAACAATTACATGAATTTAGAGGTTGGTTGACAAAATTTTTCGATAAAAGTTGATGTAATTTATGATTGAAAAGTTTATAAAAATTATAAATGACATGAAATTAAAGTTTGACCAGTTAAAAAGTGAATATAATTTAAATATTATTTATCAAACAAATACTAAATGTAACGTGTTCGATGTTTGCTTGGCGAGTTCGGTGTGCTTTTTTGGTTTTGTAGTGGAGAAGTTTATTTGTATTGAAAGCGTATATTATTGAACAAGATCGAGTTAAATAAAACAAAGTATCTTTTCTATTGGATCCCAAATATTAAGGAATAAATGATATAAATTGAGCATTGATAAATAACAAATACAAAGAATCTATATATCATCTGAATCTAAAATATAACAAACAAGAGTTTCTGAAAAAAAAAAAAAATGTACGTGACAAAAAGAAAACAAGGGGTCAGAGAGAGAGAGAGAGAGAAGAGGCATAAAAACCCCATTCTTATCTTCTACATGTCTAACCTTCTTACTTGTCATAATGAATTATTGTACCTCCAGACCATGAACGAGTAGCTTAAATTATTGAAGAGCAGAGCCATAATCAAGAATCCACGTGACTTTTTTATTTCCCCATAAATTTTCATTTCGGAAAGTAGAGGTACCGCCTTAGATCACTTCAACCACCATACCAACACCAATCCCACGGCCAATGCCACCAGCATCACCACCTATACGACATTTTTCGTTATTAGTGACAGCTTGTGTTTCTTTCATAATACTTGATGCTATAGATGTCAGATCCCTTTGATGCACATTCACTTTGAGGCCATACTTCATGAACAATGTCAATGACATCTTTTGCTCCACTTTGTGGCCGGTAACTATCGTCAGCCGGTGGCGGAGCAGCACCGCTGCCGCTATCGACTTCATTTGTAAGTAGGCCAAGTCCTTGCCTAAACATGTTCTTGGGCCAGTATTGAAGGAGACATACTTGCAAGAGTCATGCATGGTGAACTTCTTGCTTTCAGGGGATAACCATCTTTCTGGCTTGAACTCTAGGCAATCCTCACCCCACGTGGACTTCATTCGTCCAGCCGAATATATCGAATATGTAACCGATGATCCTGCCGGGACAAATGTACCGTCCGGCAATGTGTCATCCGCCACAACGTGCTTGGAGTCCTCAGGCACCGATGGGTACAATCGGAGTGTTTCGGATAATGTTGCTTTTAGGTATACCAAGCGATCAACTTCTTCGTATACTAAAGGATCATCAACCCAAGATTCTATGTTGATCCCACGTGTCTCGATCAGAACGGTGCATATTTCATGTAGAATTTTCTCTTCGACCCTTGGATTTTGCATGACCAACCAAAAGAACCAGCTCAGTGCGACCGATGACGTGTCCCGTCCAGCTAGGATGAAATTGAGTGCCACCTGTTGCAAGAATTTGTCTGAGTAGGATTCTTTTTTCTTCATGAATCTCGATAGCAAGTCATCATGTGCATTGGCATCTTTTTGCTTATTCATCAGCTCGAGTTTACGTGTCTTGATGATGTTGGACAAATACTCGTCCACGTTTTCGAGACTCTGGCTCAAGCTGACTTCCATTCCCAGCCGTAGCCATTTCTTCAGCTTCCATATAACTTCAGGAAAAATGAACCGCTGCAATGATGCCTCGGTGGCCCGGTCAAATGCGGAGGCGAAGCTATTATCCGGCATCTCCGGCGCGAGAGTTTCTGGGTCAGTCCCAAAAGCCAATCCACATATGTTATCAAAAGTGAGCCGAAGCAATAGATCTTGCAAATCAACCGGCTTGGCTTCGAGTTGAGCTGTCTTGAGAATCGGACAAAACCGGTTCTGGATGGCCCGGTTCACCCACCGTCCCATAGCTTGATGTAGTGTCCTTGTCGTGAACTCGAGGGCAGCCGTCTTTCTTTGAACAAGCCACGTTTCACCATTTGAATTGAAAATCCCCTGGCCGAGTAGATCATGAAAAACGGCCTGCCAAGTTGGTCCTTTCGGATAATTATCAAACCGGGTCTTCAAGATGTGCTCTAAATTTTTAGGGTCACAAGTGACAATCACAGGACCTTGTTTCCTGGCCAAAAATGGTATGGCACATATACATGTTTGGTATGTGCCACCGCACGCGCGGAGGTTATCGGCAATCCACTCGTGCATCCGCTCGAAGTTCTCGATAAGGCCAGGGAGACTGCCCAACACGGGCCAAACACGTGGGCCTTTCAATGACTTGGAAATGGCGGTGAACCATAGTAGATAACAAGTGACGGCAGTAAAAAACAACAATACTACATATATGTCCATTTCTCAAGAAACAACAAAAAACCTAACAAAATCCAATGAATCAAACTCAAAAACTAGAAACCCGTTACTGATTTTTGCATAAAAAATTGTGGGTTTCTGTTGGTTTAATGGAATTTGAAGAATTTTGGGATTGTGATAAAATTGAAAGATGTGCAAAAAGGGTAGAGAAAAATTCAGTCTGTGATGAAGAAAAATGAAAATTGCTCATAGTAATTTATAGATCAGAATAATTGAATAAGCAATTACTGAGGCCAGTCTGTTTCTTGAATTTCAAACACTCTCTCTACTTTTCTCTATCTAACAATGCCATAAATGCATGCCGGAAGCAGTTGGAATTGAAATTCAAGATAAAGCAAAAAACCCAAAAGAGGAAATCCGGTCTGTGAAAAAAAAAATTAAAAAGAAACACTTACAGTGAGCTTCTTCAAACTCCAAAGCAAACAACCCGCCCCCACTCCCCCACCCCCTCTCTGTAATTCCAAGTCCAACTATTCTCTGCAGAGAAAAGAGCCAGGCTCTTTAAATTCATGCATTTAATGAAGGGAATAAATGAGATTGGTTGAGAGACAACACAAATTGAGATTCCGTTCTGTTAAATTCAAGAAAATTGCACAAAAAATCCCAGAATTTGCTTATAACTTTCCTGAAAATTCATTCATAAATGAATCATGGGATCATAAAATGCACAATTATAAAGCCAAGAACTTGTTTATACTTTTTTCTTGAAATCATAGGTTTGGATTAGATCTTGTGGCTGGTTACAGTTCGGTGAACAACCCACCAACAATTTATATTAATGGTTTACATTACGTGACTCAAAATTCAATTCCAAATATCTTTATCCTTTTGCATGCCTAGAAATTTAAAAACATTTAATCTTTTTATCTCACTACTTTGACTGTCTTGAATGGAAGACAAAAGTCAACCATTTGGTTGCCATGATTTTCCTGCAAAGAAAAAGATCAACTTCGCTGCCGCAGATTTTTTGATAGAACAATAACCTCACCTGATTTGGAATGCAAGCCTTTTCTTTCATGCCAATCTATGGGCGATTATTATCATAACTTGTAAAAGAAATTTGGGTAGAAATTTCTTTATTTAATTTATCTTTTATCGCATATCTTTTATCAAAAACTTAACACGTACATAATCTTTTATGATTGAGTTACGTGAAGAAGGAATTTGAATTATGGTTAGTTATTTTTTCAGATATCATGTTAAAAGTATATATGTTATGTTGCTTAAAAATTATATTTTAGCAAATAAGAGTTGTTATAAAAAGAGACGTTAAGGAGGTCAAAATAGTCTAATTTTCGATAATGTCATTAGCTACTTACCCTATCATCAACATGTTCGCTTATCAAAATGGTTGATTCTCACGTTCATTGCATGTCTTGTCATCTTGATGGCATTTCAGGGCGTTGATCCAATTTTCTTGTCGCTTATTTAAATGATAGTGATTCCTTAAGAATTGCTTTTCAGTATAGTTTTTGTTAATATAAAACATTAACTTTGATAAAATAAATAACTTAAAGAGTAAGTTTAACATTATTTCAAATTCATCTCACACGTGCTCTGAACCATCTTGTCTAAAGCACTAAATTGACACATAGTAGACAAACATAGATTAGTTATTGTTCTAATCTCGGGATATTTATTTAAGTCTAATCGAAATTATATGTGAGAGTAAGATGTGAAATCTTATGGCATGTGTTAGATTTCTTGGAGGCATCCATCAAGCACGAGTATTTGATAAAAAAATAAAAATAAAAATAAAAAATAAAAAAAATTGAAGAATGTTGTAAAATAAATTTGTTATTAAAAGAATATATTATTGATTTATATTTTCATTATAAAGTGTACATAGATTTTTTTTTTTCAATAAACAATTCATTTAAATTTTATAGAAGAGTATTGACAATGCTGAAATTCAGAACCTATTTACCTTTAGAAACATAATATTATACAAGAAGCAGGATGGATATGGATTAAGGTGTATTGTTCTATTACGATATTCGATGTTACTTTGAATTTAAAAATATATATATTATGAGTTTTGAAAAGTAAAAAAATGAGAACAACTATAAGTAATTGTTTTCATAAATAGGTAACTTACTTATAAGCAAAGAATTATAAATAACTTAGAGTGACGATCGTCTCATCTCAATGATTAATGGATTCCACTATTACAAGTATATGATCTCTAATTGTTTCGGCCCGATTTCCAAAGCACCGAGATCAATCTTCTATTTGAGACTTCACTCATTGGTACCTCAAAGACCTTGAACTAGCAATCAAAGGTACATTACTCACTCAAGATTTATGTAACTTGTTTGATAATCGAGTAGTCTCATTTCGAGCGGTCACAAATGAGTCATCTACGTGATCCCGTTCAATGTGCATTGAAACATATTATTATTCTTATTCCAAGATCTAGACAAATCTTAATAAAAGTAATGCAATCTTATCAACATAAAGCGCTTAATTTTATGTATTGATTGTGTGAACGACATAATTTTGATCACATCACAAATTGTGTCTTACTATACCCGAACCATTGAGTATACAATTTGTGATATCCTATATGATCATGGAACCTTAGATAATCGCTTCAAATTATAACAAGCAAATAAATGAACGTCAATTCATAATTTGATTTTACAGAATATTACTCGAAAAAAAGAGAATCAAACTAACAGGCGCTACCTTCCTATTTTCTACACTTGAGTTGGAAGGGAGCGTGCAACTAGCGTAGTAGCGATGATTTTTTTCTCCTTGACAGTAACAATTTCTGATCATTTGAAATAAATCTCCAAGATAAACTCTTAGAATTATTGTGGCAGCTTGGAATTAGAGGCTTTATAATTGATATTCAATAACCTTCGAATTCATAATGATTATTTTTTTTAATGAGAAATTAAAGAAACCATGCTTTTAAGTTTACGTTATAAAATGAGGTATTCTACTTTCTATTCACAAATTAGATATCTTTTTATTTTAGTATATGTTTCTATTTGTTCCCAATTGCATTAATTGTGGTACAATTAATGTATATTTGAGTTTTAATTTTTGAAATTCAAATGACACAAAATGAGATTCTTATGGTTTCAATATTATTTGAACTAAAAAAACACTTATATTTTCCTTCTTCATCGTCATGTGAGATTACTGAGGTTACAATTGCTGTATTTTATGCCACACACGTTAACAAGCCACAAGTTCGCATGTCATGTGAATACAAGAGGTCACAAATAAGCATACCTTTATGAAATCCGAACATCTCCCTACTTTTATACATAGAATGGTGGTTGTGACTATTATGACATATAGATTGACGGTTGTGATCGAAAAATATGAGGAAATTATGAAGACAATAATTTTATATATTGTTTTGTAGATTAAAAATGATTTTTTTGATAGCTAAAGCCTTTTGTCTCGATAGCAGTAATTTATTATTATTTTTTTTAAAAAGGAAAAAAAATGCAAAGATGACATTTTCGAGTTAATTGTTCAATGATCATTGAATTTAGGTCTATATTTTTTATTGGTTACTGAACTTTAAAATGTTGAATTTTGATCACTGAATTTTGAAAAATATACATCACTTACTAGTATAACTGTTGAACTATAAAAAATATCGAGTTTACAGTGAGTAATGTACTGTCATGAAACTTGATATTTTAAATTTCAATGAGCAATTGAAAATATGAATCTAAATTAAATGATCAAAATACGACATTTTAAATTTAAGCGATTATTCAAAGACATAGACTTAATTCAATTAACAATTAACTCGACATTTTCACATGAAAAAAAATCCCCATAGAAAAATTTCCACATCTGGTCCACAGGACGACCTTGCCCTATGCTGTGGCGGGTAGCGAGCTGAATATTATCCGAATTGGCTGAGAAAGAAAACACACACACACACACACACTGATGGGAGATCTGTACGCCTTGGATTTTGATGGCGTTCTCTGTGACAGCTGCGGAGAGAGCTCTCTTTCTGCTATTAAGGTTAATATTTTTTTTTCTTTGATTGATTGTGTTGAACATCTTGATTTTCCTTGTGCATTTCACTTTCTGTTTAATTATTAAGGCACATTTTTTATGAGTTTCTCTTGTTCTTTGATGAAGTGCAAAAAAAAAAAATTGTGATTTTACTTTTACACTTAAATTGCTGTTTGATTATGTAGATGCATTTTTTTAAGAAAATTTATTGATTGATGTAGGCTGCGAAAGTGAGATGGCCGAGTCTATTCGACGGAGTGAATCCAGCTTTGGAGGATTGGATTGTTGATCAGATGCACATAGTAATGATTTGTTCATATATAATATATTTGATTGTCTTCTTTGAACTTATGTTAATTACTTAATTTATTGTATATTAATGTCTGTAATTAGTGATTAATTTTGAAAAATTGCGAGGAGAAGATATTGTAACTTCAGTTCTGTTTAGTGGCTGCTTAGAAAGCATACGAATGTTGAAATGGCGTAAGAAAGAACAAATTGAACTTTAGGATGGGGAGATTTATGACAATTGAAGTTTAAAGGGAAGTTTGTTCAGAGTTTCATTATTTAGAGAGAGAAAAAACAAAAAACAAAAAGAATATGAGCCGAAAATTCTGGAGATGGGATATTTGGTTCCAGGATTTTAAATTGGATGCTTGAGTTATCTTGAAATTAAATTCATTTTGAAGTTAGAAATTTCACTTTTTTGGACTTCTTTTCTTGATTGTTAATTTTATATCTTGTATGATAAATAAGTAAATTCATCACTATTGAGTATTCTTAATTTCAGTAACCTTTTTTTTTTTTTTTTGGGATAAAATACTTGCTTCCATGTATAATACTTTGAAAATGACAAAATTGTTGACTGGTTACAGGTTCGCCCTGTAGTAGAAACTGGATATGAAAATTTATTACTTGTGAGGTTGCTATTGGAGACGAGAATCCCTTCTATTCGGAAATCTTCGGTGAGTGACTAATGCAAAAAAAATAATTCCTGCTAGTGGGACGCATGGAAACTGGAAAACCATATGTCAGGTGGACGTCTCACATTATCTTTTGTGCCTTTGGAGGATTCTTGACCTTGAAATTTATTGTTTACGTGCAAGGTGGCAGAGGGACTCACGATTGAGGAAATTTTGGAGAACTGGTATAAAATAAAACCAGTAATCATGGAAGAGTGGGGTGAGAACAGAGATGCTCTAATAGAACTTTTTGGAAAGATCAGGGATGAATGGATGGACAATGACTTGGCAACTTGGATTGGTGCGAATAAGTGAGTGATTTTAGTATATATTCAAATACAATGCTTGGACAAACGGTCAAGTTCGTAAATTTTCTAATATCTTTGTCTCTGGGAACCCACTCCGGTATGTAACAAGTTCTAGCTACTATGGATTTGAACCAATGACTCCTTCTGTATGAAAGCAATACTCTTAATGTTATAACCACTAATTTAAGTAGGCGAATCTGCAGTTTTTACAATTAGAGCTAGTTTTAAGACTTAGGTTCCACACATTTCTTTTTTTGGTCCAACTGCTTATATTGTAGTAATCATATTCTGACTCTGAGGCTACAGAAGGAACAAGGTAAAATGAAAACATTTTTTTTTTTTTAATGATCATGGGTGTCCAGGCCAGCTTACACGCCTCTCGATTAATCCCATGGGGTTCTGAAGTTTACGGCACTGAGGCGACTCAAACTAGTAACCATTGGGGAGCAAACACAAGGCCTGACCAAAAATGAAGGCAAAATAGAAATTACAAATTTGAAAATCTTTGGCAAAGGAGTTGGCCTTCGGAATTGAGGGATATTCCATGTCTACACAAGCATTTCGAGATAACATAGTTCTTCATCTGTTGTGAGCAACCAACATGTTGTCTTCGATCACCTAATATTACCACTTCATAATAATATTTGCATTAGAGATGATATTGTATCTCATGGACGACTTGCCAATTCTTCTACTATAATTATGCTTTGCACTATGCAAGAGCTCAGTGTGAACAATAAAAACCCCTGGTTTATGTAATGACTAAGGTTTTAGGTGCTATTCTTGGAAAACATTTTTCTGAACATTGAAAAGTACGGTTTGTCCTGCAGGTTTTATCCCGGTGTTCCTGATGCCCTGAAATTTGCAAGCTCAAAGGTCTGTATCGTGACAACAAAACAGGTAAGTTTCAAGCAGAAAGACTTGCACAACGAATTTGATGTAATGCTAAAATCTCCATACTACCAGATTATTGTGACTAATACATGACAGCTTCATTTATGGTGGAGAGAATTTCACAGAAATCAACAATATTAATGAAAGAAAATAATTGATCCTATAGAATCCTACATGCACCTGATGTTTACAAACTTTTTGGGCAAGTGTCATAGCCAATTTTATTGTGATTTCGTAATGCTATCCACTTACCATCTTACTATTTACAGAGCCGCTTTGCAGATGCATTATTACGAGAACTTGCAGGAGTCATTATTCCACCTGAAAAAATCTATGGTCTGGGAACTGGGTGAGTATTTTCTGAATAAATTTGGTGGGAGTGGATTGTAATCTGGCAGGTTATGTCATATTTAGACCTCTCCATATCAGCACTATTTGCGTCCTCTTGTTTAAAATTTTCAGTCCAAAAGTGAAAGTGCTGAAGCAGCTTCAGGACATGCCAGAACACCAGGGTCTTACTCTACAGTAAGATTCTTGGCCGATTACTAGCTGATTTACAGCAATTCCTTAATTCTTCAGTATTTATTTGAATTCTGTACTGATGAAACATATTTGCTCGTCCCTTTCGAACAGCTTTGTCGAAGACCGACTTGCAACCCTAAAGAACGTTATAAAAGAGCCAGAATTGGACAAATGGAACTTGTATCTTGGTAACTATGGTTCATTCGGATTTGGTGATCCTTCTTTCTCACATTTACTGGTTTGGTGCATTGTTTCGATTTCTGAAACGAGTTAGTGGATGCAGGAGATTGGGGTTACAACACTCAGAAAGAGAGAGATGAGGCTGCGAGCATTCCCAGAATTCACATTCTTCAGCTTTCCGACTTCAGCAAGAAGCTAAAATGATCACCTTCTTCACTGTACTGTTGACATTCCCAGGCCTCGTTTTCTTTCTTCAATTATTGCATTGTGCCTCGTCATTCATTGAATGCGTATTTATCGCTAATTTGTTGCTCGAACATTTTAAATGAAGAGATTAAGTGACATCCTAATATTTTGTAGTTCCCAACAAATAAACTATGTAAAGAAGCAAGAACTATCCGTTGATCCATAGCAATAACACTAAGCACATAATATAACATCTCTTTAATACCTTAAACTTTTAGATGAAATGGTTCAAAGTAGATTAATGTCCTTAAATCATTTCTCAGTATCGTGCTTTTACAGAAAATCGTATGGAAGTTGGCATGGCCTCTTTAAGTTTATTCTTCTTTAAAGGGACGAAATATAAGTAGGAAAAGTGTAAGCGATTAGGGTCCGTTTGATTGCAAAGATAGAATTTAGGTGGAAAGAAAACGAATTTCAAGGAATTGAATTGCCTAAAAATTATTTTCTTGGGAATTGTCAATTTATTGTGTTTGATATAATTTTTCACATGAAAAATATTGAAATGAAAGTGTTATTTGGTGTTCGTTGGGCTTTGTTTTACATGAAAATTATTAATGAAAGGGATAAAATTTATTGGTATTGAGGATAGAATTTGTTTCCATTGCAAAAAAAAAAATAATCATAATAAATAAATTTGGAAGTCACTTTCCCACCATATAGATGGGAAAATGAATTCTTTCAAATCAAGGAAATCAAGGAAAACAGGCGCGTGAGAGGGTACCATGGAATTCATTTTCCATGGAAATTCTTTGCAATCAAACACTCACAATTGACCTTGATGGAAATTAATGTCAATTTTCCATGGAAAGTGAGGTCTATCAAACGGAGCCTTAGATGAATTCTAATGCTATCACATTAAAGGATATAATTTTAGGGAAATTTGATGCAAAGGTCCCAAACATTTTAAAAATGTGTGCCATCAGACCCAAACATTCTAGTCTTAGCAATTATATCCCAAACATTTTAATTAGACCCATCACATTTCTAATAAAAAGAAGAAATAGCACTCGCGTTTCCCAAATTTACGAAAAAGCTAAAGAAACCATGTTCATCAGGTTATATTTACTTCACCATTATTAGCATTGATATCCTGCAAAGGAACACAATTTTCTGTACTAAAACAAAAAGTTCAAGAGCAGCAAAAATAATAAAAAATCAATCTTTATATTTTATCTTCTTTCTTATTCATCAACGTACATGTTTTCAGTCAAAGAATTTCCACGAAACGACAGAATATATTATTGAGACCCAGAGGAAAAATACAAATTCAAAAATGCGGGTGGAGTGGATTGGGGGAGATTAGTGTGTGTGTGTGTGTGTTTTTTTTTTTTTTAAAAATAAAATCTTTTCTTATTTCTTTTTTGTATTTTGTTTCTCATTTTTTAACTGTTTTAATTAAAAAATGTCAAAAGATCACTTTGCCCTTTATTAAATTGGTCAAATTAATGTAAGACTTACGAGTTTTGATCAAGTGACGGGCATTTGGATGGAAACCATCCACAGGTCTTTATGACGCAACATAATGATACAAGTGCTAAAATTAGAAGGTTTGGGACTTAGCAACATATTTTTGAAAGACTTAAAAAACATTTATGGCAAACTTCCCATAATTTAGTAAAGAATAATGTTATTTAGCATTAATCTATGTGACATTATATGATAGGTTCAATTAAAAGCTAAATTTTGTGATTCATTTAATTGAGTAATTTTTTTTATTACCGTGGGTGTTTAGGTCAACTTACGCCCACCGTGTGAGTAATTTTATTTAATATTAGTTTAGGTGGCAACTGCATGATATTAAATGATAGATTCACTTAAATAAAATGTCATATAATTCATTTAATTGAATCTATCAAGTGTTATCATCTAAAGTGATGTTCTAACACCATTGATGCTAGATAACATTATTCTTTAGTAAGACTACGTCAAATTAAATACAAATGAATGTCATTAACGAAGAGAGGTGTAAGGAAAATCTGTTCATTACTCAATACAATAGAGGTGTATTAAAACATTTTGAAGTATGTGGAAGAACAACATTGAAATCAATTCGAGGTATAAATATTAACTTTATAATAGTAAAATCTCGATCAAATTACTTAGTTATTTAAAAACATTGGAATCTCCCCTAAAAATAATATATCTCTATCCAATATTTGCTATAAAGAAGTTTGATATGTTGTTCCAAATTATTTTTCAAATCAAATAACTGAATAAAGTGAACTTACTACAAATTAAAGATTAGAAGATAGCTGTCAGTTAACCGACCTTAGCTCAGTTGGCAGAGCGGAGGACTGTAGTTGGAGCTGTAATCCTTAGGTCGCTGGTTCGAATCCGGCAGGTCGGATTTTTAAATTCGTCTCTCTTTTTTATTTTTCCCATAAATATGTCTTATAATTGTATTGTGATCCCTTTACTTTTAGCACAGTTACATCCAGATCACATATTATTTCAACCTAACTTTGATTTACTTTCGTCCACTGTTGTCAGCCTAATAACATAACCTATGGTTGGTTTATATTTATAAATTATTTATAAATATTCCTCATCTCAAAAATCTACACCTCACTTCATGAAAGCAACCACTACTACTCTGATTAAGCCCTTGTTTGGCTCAGAATTTTAATAACATTTTCATGGGCCCCACAACTTTTTTATCTCATATTTCAAAAATTTCTATCAAAATCTACTAAAAATCTAATGATCCATTTAATTGCAAGATTGAAATTTCAAAGGCAAGAAAACGAATTTCAGAAAATTGAATTGCCTAAAACTTGTTTTCCTGAAAATTGTCAATTTAATGTATTTGATTCGTATAATTTTTCACTTGAAAAATGTTGAAATTTTCTATCTTTTAGTGTTCGTTTGATTTTTTTTTCATGGTAATTGTTAATTAAATGGATTTTTCTTTTTCTTTTTTTTAATTATGAATAGAATTTGTTTTCATTACTGGAAAAAAAAAAAAGGAGTTGGAAAATCCAATTCCCACCAAAACCAGGAGAATTGATTTTCCTTCAAAAGGTAGAAAATGGGTCACGTGGTGGGGCGGGAGGAGGGGGTAGGCTAGAAAAGAAATTCCATGGAAAATTTTGATGATCAAACACCACATTTTGGGTTCATGGAAAATAGAGTTATCAAACAGGGACTAATTTTAATCCCCACCAAACAACCACTAAGTAATATTAACTATATCTTTTATGGATCCCATAACTTTTCAACCACACATTTCAAAAACTTCTATCAAAATCCATTAAAAATATTATTTTAATCACCTCCAAACAACCAGTAAGTAACACTTAATTGAATATTTAGACAACTCTTCAACAAACTTTAACAACTTTCTTATCGTTTAAACTTTTAGAATGAATTGGTCAATAAACGTACAAATTTTGAAAGATTGAAATTCTCATATTGCAGAAGAATTGAGATTGAACAATATAGGATCCTCACTTTTGGATATGAAAGTTCCCTTTCATTGAGGCTCAAATAGATCTAAGACCATATGAACAAATGGAGTTCACAGACCAATTATCTGTAAGGTGGACTGAAATTCTGAACATTGTTGATGGGGGGAAAAAAGACTATTATTCATTATATTATCTATTTTGTTCCGTACATCGCACTAAACATGTCCTAAATATATTTTCTCCCACCATAGTAAAACTACGGGCATGGGATAATTGTACCTATACAAAATACTTCTAGTTAAGTTTAAAGAGAAACTGATATATCTCTTTTTTCCAGAATTCTTTTACTTTACATCTAAATCATCATTCAGTCCACCCCATTTTCGCATTCTTTCTGATGTTTGTGCCACCTGCAATTTAAGGGGAAAAAACGGTTTCATTAGCATGTAATTGAAGATGAAACATGCTCTTTACATCTATCTTGATGTACAATTTTGCCAATTTTGTCTTTTGCAACTAGAAGTGTAAAACAGATCAACACATCTTCGGAAGCTGATGATCCATGCATAAAAGTGATGCTGGTCCAGGACTAGACATGCCTAGGACAAAGGGCTGGGCTTCCCCGAGTGTAACCCCATTTTCTTTGTCTGTGTGCATCTGTCTGTGACTGTGGTGTGTCTTTTGTAATAGGCATCAAGATCTTACCTCCTCGTTCCAATTCGTTTTCCACACAATAATCAAAAGAATCACAGTTTGCAGGAAAGTTCCGAAAATCATCCCCATCCAAATTCCCTACAAGAATACATTCACAAGTTCTTAAAATTAGTAGTTACAGAAAGAAAAAACACAGAAAATTCTCTGATTTTTCACATCATCCAAATTCAACTAGCAAAGATAAAATAGAAGTTTAAAAGCTGTGTGATTATCTTTTCCTTCCCCTTTTTAGGGGGTGCAGAGACAGGTCATGAAGTATATTTCGCGAATTTACTGGTGATGATGACTTTACCTGAACCCCTAAATTTGTATTGTAACCAAGAAAAAATCCAATAGGGAGTCCTATAATGTAATAACAAGTCAGATTAATATAAGCCACCAGTCCTTGCCATCCTCCCCCAACAGCAACTCCTGTGGAAAAAAATTACAAGTATTCACAAAGAGTAGAAGCGTTAGCCTATTATCGATATCAAGCAACGAAAACCAAATAAAAAGGGTTCACATTTTCATTTTGTTCAAAGTTGATCACTAAACATTTATTACAACTTTCGTCATTTCGTCCGTGTCCTGGTGTCCATTAGTTTGACTATCGGAAAGGTTGATATGTGGTAACTAGATTGTAATATCACATTTCTGTTAGTCAAACTAATGGAAATGAACAGATTGACTAAACTGTAACATAGTTTAAGTTCCAGCGACCAATTGGACGACAATGATCGAAACGAAATTTCGTCAAAAGTTTACTGGAAACCAGTGTATCTAACTGGGGAATATGATAAAAAAACAGGGGCCTGTGACAGGCACCTATGTGGCGCCCTCCTATTGGAGGGGATGTCGGTGGGCATCCCCTCCAATAGTGTGGTGCCCTGTCACAGGCCCTTGTCCAAATAGCATAGCCCTTTAACTGGAATAAAAAGTTACCAATTTTATACCTGATATAACTGGCTGGATACTGTTGAGCACCATAGTTACAGCAAGAAGGTAAGCTAAATCAGAAACACCCTTTTGCATCTGTACACTGTTGGTAAAAAGAATAGCAAACTTGTCCCTAGTTGCTATTATTATCAACATGCTAATTATCCCGATGAAAAGAGATTCAACAACCGTGACAAATACCGAATACTTGGCAGCCCTTGGATGTCCAGATCCGAGTTCATTAGATACACGAACGCTGAAAGGAAATTAAAGGGAAAGGGAGAAGTCAGGTGTTTGTATTGAAGATAGGGGGATGGTATATATATGGAGAGGGAAACATAACTTATTTACCTAATGGCTGCATTTATTCCGATGAACAGCATGCCTTCCCATCCATTCAAGTTCATGCTAGAACAAGTCAGTTAATGATCATTAGAATATGGTTGCAATCAAATCTAGAAAATCCGTATTAAAAGAATAGGAAAATACCAGATTGAAAGGGATCCAACTGCCAGGACTGGATCATCAAGATGCCCTGTAAGAACAATTATGCTCATAAAATACCAAATCTCCAAACAAAGCATTACCGCAGAAGCTACAGAAAGCCTCACAAAAGCCCAAATGTCCTTGAAAGCCAACCAAGATAACCCCTTCCAGCTATCTTGGCACCAGCCTGTAATGTACACAACCTGAGCCAAAGCAACATGATATTAAATGATAGATTCACTTAAATAAAATGTCATATAATTCATTTAATTGAATCTATCAAGTGTTATCATCTAAAGTGATGTTCTAACACCATTGATGCTAGATAACATTATTCTTTAGTAAGACTACGTCAAATTAAATACAAATGAATGTCATTAACGAAGAGAGGTGTAAGGAAAATCTGTTCATTACTCAATACAATAGAGGTGTATTAAAACATTTTGAAGTATGTGGAAGAACAACATTGAAATCAATTCGAGGTATAAATATTAACTTAATAATAGTAAAATCTCGATCAAATTACTTAGTTATTTAAAAACATTGGAATCTCCCCTAAAAATAATATATCTCTATCCAATATTTGCTATAAAGAAGTTTGATATGTTGTTCCAAATTATTTTTCAAATCAAATAACTGAATAAAGTGAACTTACTACAAATTAAAGATTAGAAGATAGCTGTCAGTTAACCGACCTTAGCTCAGTTGGCAGAGCGGAGGACTGTAGTTGGAGCTGTAATCCTTAGGTCGCTGGTTCGAATCCGGCAGGTCGGATTTTTAAATTCGTCTCTCTTTTTTATTTTTCCCATAAATATGTCTTATAATTGTATTGTGATCCCTTTACTTTTAGCACAGTTACATCCAGATCACATATTATTTCAACCTAACTTTGATTTACTTTCGTCCACTGTTGTCAGCCTAATAACATAACCTATGGTTGGTTTATATTTATAAATTATTTATAAATATTCCTCATCTCAAAAATCTACACCTCACTTCATGAAAGCAACCACTACTACTCTGATTAAGCCCTTGTTTGGCTCAGAATTTTAATAACATTTTCATGGGCCCCACAACTTTTTTATCTCATATTTCAAAAATTTCTATCAAAATCTACTAAAAATCTAATGATCCATTTAATTGCAAGATTGAAATTTCAAAGGCAAGAAAACGAATTTCAGAAAATTGAATTGCCTAAAACTTGTTTTCCTGAAAATTGTCAATTTAATGTATTTGATTCGTATAATTTTTCACTTGAAAAATGTTGAAATTTTCTATCTTTTAGTGTTCGTTTGATTTTTTTTTCATGGTAATTGTTAATTAAATGGATTTTTCTTTTTCTTTTTTTTAATTAAAAAAAGGGAAAGGAAACAATCACCTTTTCTTTCAACAATGCATTTTCTATTTTTAATTTCAGTAGATTATGTTGCCTTTCTTCTTCACCAAGACGTGGACCACCACAAGTCGGGCATATGATGTTATTAAGTGCCTCTTTCATTGCTGAATTCTCACAGTATAATCTTTCATTTTCAGATCGAAGGGTGCCATTGTCGGCTTTCTCTTGTTGAGCCTCAAATATTTAAAACACTTCACATCATCCAAATTCAACTAGCAAAGATAAAATAGAAGTTTAAAAGCTGTGTGATTATCTTTTCCTTCCCCTTTTTAGGGGGTGCAGAGACAGGTCATGAAGTATATTTCGCGAATTTACTGGTGATGATGACTTTACCTGAACCCCTAAATTTGTATTGTAACCAAGAAAAAATCCAATAGGGAGTCCTATAATGTAATAACAAGTCAGATTAATATAAGCCACCAGTCCTTGCCATCCTCCCCCAACAGCAACTCCTGTGGAAAAAAATTACAAGTATTCACAAAGAGTAGAAGCGTTAGCCTATTATCGATATCAAGCAACGAAAACCAAATAAAAAGGGTTCACATTTTCATTTTGTTCAAAGTTGATCACTAAACATTTATTACAACTTTCGTCATTTCGTCCGTGTCCTGGTGTCCATTAGTTTGACTATCGGAAAGGTTGATATGTGGTAACTAGATTGTAATATCACATTTCTGTTAGTCAAACTAATGGAAATGAACAGATTGACTAAACTGTAACATAGTTTAAGTTCCAGCGACCAATTGGACGACAATGATCGAAACGAAATTTCGTCAAAAGTTTACTGGAAACCAGTGTATCTAACTGGGGAATATGATAAAAAAACAGGGGCCTGTGACAGGCACCTATGTGGCGCCCTCCTATTGGAGGGGATGTCGGTGGGGCGGGCATCCCCTCCAATAGTGTGGTGCCCTGTCACAGGCCCTTGTCCAAATAGCATAGCCCTTTAACTGGAATAAAAAGTTACCAATTTTATACCTGATATAACTGGCTGGATACTGTTGAGCACCATAGTTACAGCAAGAAGGTAAGCTAAATCAGAAACACCCTTTTGCATCTGTACACTGTTGGTAAAAAGAATAGCAAACTTGTCCCTAGTTGCTATTATTATCAACATGCTAATTATCCCGATGAAAAGAGATTCAACAACCGTGACAAATACCGAATACTTGGCAGCCCTTGGATGTCCAGATCCGAGTTCATTAGATACACGAACGCTGAAAGGAAATTAAAGGGAAAGGGAGAAGTCAGGTGTTTGTATTGAAGATAGGGGGATGGTATATATATGGAGAGGGAAACATAACTTATTTACCTAATGGCTGCATTTATTCCGATGAACAGCATGCCTTCCCATCCATTCAAGTTCATGCTAGAACAAGTCAGTTAATGATCATTAGAATATGGTTGCAATCAAATCTAGAAAATCCGTATTAAAAGAATAGGAAAATACCAGATTGAAAGGGATCCAACTGCCAGGACTGGATCATCAAGATGCCCTGTAAGAACAATTATGCTCATAAAATACCAAATCTCCAAACAAAGCATTACCGCAGAAGCTACAGAAAGCCTCACAAAAGCCCAAATGTCCTTGAAAGCCAACCAAGATAACCCCTTCCAGCTATCTTGGCACCAGCCTGTAATGTACACAACCTGAGCCAAAGCAACTCCCCAACCAGAAATATCATAGGCTGCTGCTGCACCAGCTAATCCCCATTTGAAAACTTTAATGAACAAAAACAGCACACCAATATGTAGAACGAAGGCCACAAACCCAACCCATGCAAGGATTGTCACCTTACTTTGAGCTTGTAAGAATTTCTGCGTCGGAAAATTTATGGCAAGTGAAAACATCTGAGGAATAATTTGCAATGAGAATCTGCCAGCAATTTCCGCAATATCATGTCTTTGGCCTAGGAGTTTTAGCAAAGGGACTGAAAAAATGTAAAGGGGTAATAGGCAGATACAAGCTGCTATGAGGATTAACCCTGATCTCTGCATGTAAACTCCAAGCATATCTGTTTCACCGGCACCAAAGGCCTGCCCACATAATGTCTCGAGTGCACTAGCCATTCCAAGCTGTTAATGCGAGCACGAAAGAATTGATAAAAATAGTTAAATTTCAAGTGTTTTGATCTTTGAACTTGGATCATAATACAAAACTTTAAGGCATGTTCCGTACATAGTATTTGACAAGATTCAACTGTACAATTACAAGATTTTAGCTTATTGTTATTCTACAACTCAATTCTGTCCTATGCAACTTTCCCAGTTAAAAACAAGGTTAGTCACCCAACATGGAGCATCTTATGATCCTTTGGTCACCGAATTTATATTTGTTCCAAATTGTGACCCAACTTTCACTTTTTCCATTCCATCTCCCCCCGTTTGCTCGACTAAGGCTAGACGTGACATAAAAAAATCATTAAATGCATTATTCTTATCTTTCATGTGAATAAAATCCCTTGGGAATTTAACAAGTTACACTAATGGATTTTCCATGCTAAATCGTATTTTCCGTTAGCCGCATCAGAATTTCCATTGGTATAGCATAGTGCCTATACCGAAACAAAAACAAAAATTCAATTACTAATTTGGAATAAAATAAGTTGAGCGTTGAGGGATCAAAGTAAAACAAGTTGGGTGACTAACAAATTTTTAATCCAAACAAGCCACTAAGAAAAACAAGAAATATCACAAGAGAGATTTAAAACACTTGCCAAAAAGCCGAAAGAGAAATTCGCAATGACTGATAAAGAAATGGCAACAGAAGAGAGTTCCACATCTCCAATATGCCCAACAAAAATATTTGTAAACGAATTAATCCCATAATTGCAAACAATATTAAACGCAATGGGAGCTGCAATAGCCCACAATTTGATCGATTCAAGGTAAAACATATTCTTAACATCATAAAACGTTTGCACCGGCGTATAATCGCCGCCGTCACCATACACTAACACGGCCGACGGTGCGTCATGTAGAACCACCTCGTTCGTCGACGATTTTCCATCGAACAGTGGTGTTTCCATTTCCAATATAACAGTTTGTTTCCGTGTTGATGAATCTGAAGAGGTTGAGTCATTGTATTCCAATGCTCCTCCTCTGTCATTTTCTTTGTCTCCCTCAATCTTTGCCCAATTTGCAGTGTATACTTTCTTGTTTAGACGAATTTAGAATGTAAAAAACCCAGAAATGAGTGTTTGTTTCTTTGAATTTTGTTTTTGTAGGGTGAATTTGGAGAGGGCATATTTCTTGGAATGGTAGTGCTCACAATTCGGCTCCATTTGTGGCAATAAACTATAACACTCAGAATTCACTCAAATTTGACTATTAATAGAAAAATACACCTCTCAGCCTTCCCTTCTCCCTCCCACCAATTCTTAACTTATTCATTTTCAAATATGATTTGATTTACAAAAAATATTTATTTTGTTACATAATTATTTTGAAAATAATTCTTACTGCATTAAATAGATAACTTACTTATTTTAAACTTTGACAAACAAAAAAATAATTAATTTAGAACTTATGTACTCATTAGTAAACCCTTTAACCTTGACCACCCATGCTAGAATCTTAACCATGGGAGATTGTTCACATCAAATCATAAAAGTCAAATGAAAGGGATTCCAATATCAATTTTAGCAGGCATCTAACTATAATCATCAGTATTTTATGAAGTTAATAGTATAATAAAAAAAGGGGTTATTGGCACAAAACCAACTTGACCTTTGCCCTATTGTGGAATACTTTCCATCCTTACGAATTGACGAAAACCCTCCATTTGACATTTGATGTGCAGAAGACCCTTTGTCGTCCATTTTCGTTGTTGTTGCCGTTAAATCCACTTAAAGGTCATATATGAAACTCAAATAGGACACAAGGGGATGGAACCAAAATTATGTCACATACTATTTGGTACATAAACTTTACAACATTAATGGTTGCCGTTATCACACTTGAACATAATGGAGCTTTCATCATTCGTCAACTTTTAAATGTAGAATGTTGATCAGTTTGTATGCCAATGACAATGCTCCAACTTTGGGAAGACAAGACATGCCCAGTGATCGACTCGTCGACTGGCCATTGTTTATGTTGAGCAATGAATTTACCAATTACGAGTTTGAACCAACATGAGCACCTAAGAAAGATACCTGGTTACCTACATGAACTATTTGCATGAGCAAGTAATCAAATACACAACTATTCACATTGTTACGTTTTGATATGAGACAAATTAGAAACTTGCCCTCGACAAGTCAAAGAGCTCCGTATGTCATTTCCTGCAGTGTCAAGAATCAAATATATACATTTAATTAAAGCAATATACATCACCATACAATATTAATATAGTAGCAACTTAATAAGATCTCTTCAACTTTGGAAATTGCATATTCTTTACTTGCCCGAGTAGCAAGCTAGTCTTCAATCTTTCATTGTAGTCCTCAACTAAGGAAACCGTCTAAATCTCCATTAAATCATCACGTGACCCTCACACATCCAACTTTAAGAAGCTAGACTTTATTTCTCAACTTGGACGAGTCCCTAAAATTTTAGAAAGTTGAGGTGTGGCATTTTTTTGAGGGTCATGTGACAGTATAACGGAGATTTCGACGCTTTTTATTCTTGAGTATTATGAAACTATAATTATAGGTTGGGACCAACTTGGTACTTGAGGACAAAGTGTTGCTGATCATCCACCAACTTCAACTCCACACACCCCACCTCAGTGTTTCAATTACATCCTTTTTTTCTTCCCCTACCCCATGGGGCGAAGCTTATGACTTACACACAAAAAAAAAAAAAAAATAACAATAACTGTAACAACAACAACAACAATAACAATATAATAATAATAAGAATAATAATAATAATAAAAGTTAAAATCTTATTAAAGCAAATATAAATTAAAGCATTAAGAAAACTTGATTACATATGGGGCAGTTGTCACTTCTTTCCATCCATTCAAGTATGCACGAAAGGTGAAAATGATGGTTACACTTGATCAAGATTTTCAAATTTTCTGCATCATACTCTCTGCATATGGCAGATGTAGAGAGAACTTGTTCACAGAGGTCTTACTGACCCCTCACATGGGGTTGGCCCCATGCGGGCCTCGATACCATAAAAAATGAAAAAAAATCTTGACCCCACCTCATGTAAGGGGTCGGTAAGACCCCTGTAAAGCATTGTCCAGAAAACTTATATACTGGAAGTAAATTAGATTGACTTCTTGTACTTATGACTAGGGGCGAATTCAGGGGTTTGAATCAGCATGGGTAGTCATTGACCATTTATCGTCAGCTGCAATAAAATATTAAGAGCCCGTTTAATAGCTATTTTTTTTGCAAAAAATGCATTTTGGAATATGATTTGATAGAGAATGGTTGGCTAAAAATATAGAAAAGCTTTGAATTTGCATGTAATATTATTTTATTGAAAAATGTGTGCATAAAAAGAAGATGAAAAAAATGTATTTGAAAAAAATGGGAATCGAACAAAGCCTAAAGTTTAAATAAAACAATTATTTTGCTCAAGTTAAATGTATATAATTCCGTTATAAGAATAAATAAGACTCATCAAATGATATTGTTGTCAAATTTTATATAATTCAATAGAAGGGCGCGAATTCGAATCTTTACAATTGTTTTTGCATTAAAACAGTTAAAACCTAACAAATATTATTTTGTTAAATTTAGTGACACAACTTAAGAAGTTCCCTAATGGTTAAGTTTACAGTAATCCTTACAACAGGTCATAGGTTCAAATCCCCTTTGTCCCCTTCCCTATTGAATTTTGATAAAAATTGTAAAATAAAAATAAAACACAACGAATTCATTGGTAAGTGATCCGAACCCCAGACTTAAAATATGCTCATGCAAGCTCCATCCAACTAAGCCACAAGAAAAGTTTGAAAATAAAATGACTTACAAGTAATATAACGTAAAAATTTAATTTATTGTCAAAAAAAAAAAAATCTCTGGCTGTTTCGGCAAATCCGCCCTTGCCACCACCTAGATCAACCATTGTCTATGACGTGTTAATAAAACATGCTAGCCTACTGTTGCTAAGCTTAAAAAGTTTACGAGAAAGCTTGGTAAGTATTTATAAACAGTTTAGATCATAAGTAGGTGGATAAATGATTAGTCCCTTGAAATGTGTGGACAAAAAGTTTCTTGACATATCCATATTTAAATCAACGAAAAAAGCTCTGGGTACAAGGTATTTTTACAGGAAACTCACAGAATTTTGAATTCGGCTTACGTGGCAGAGAGAGAGAGAGAGAGAGAGAGAGAGAGAGAGAGAAATAAAAAAAAAAAAAAAAAAAGAAAAAAACATAAAAGTCTCCATTGTTTTATCGGGAAGTCTCGTTTGTTTCCCTCCCAAAACAGAAGACAACCGCCATCCATCTGAAATTCATTGGCGCCAACGACCATATCCCAGCTAAGAGGGCACCATACAAACTTGCATTTCGAGCGATTGGTACCCATTTCGTTTTCCTCGGCAGTCAATCGGGTGGAGTCGACTTGGCTATGGAGATGAATATTGTACCATAACCCGTCTTCATTTCCAGCTTCCCGTAATCTTTTTTCTTATGTTATACTTTTTGGATTTAAAAAAATAATATATTTGTCGAGCTCCAATGGCGTTTTTTACATACATTTCTATGTAAAATTGCATACAACAAATTACATAAATTTCTATGTAAAATTGCTTGAAAATGAATAAAAATGTTTCACTATGCCAATCACCATAGTGAGACAGCGATTGATCCCTACTTCTCTGTACGAGTTCATCGTGGCTGCAAGCAATGGTAATAGTGCTAGTTATGGTGTTAATATACCTCTGAAATTTTCCAAACCTTATAGAATCACTCCCCTGAAAAACATTTTCAAGTTGCTCAAGGAATAGCTGAAAATATGTAGATGCATTGATTGCTTCTTATAATTTGTGTCGCAGGAAACGAAATTATGGAAGATGGGAATCTTGATTTGTTGCTACAATCTGATAACGAGAACGCTATGGAGAATTTGAATATGCTGGACAATGAAAATGTAGGAGAAGATATGGCGTTAGTGCCTAAGGTGGGTATGACGTTTAGTGATGAGAAGGAAATGTTTGATTTCTACAAAAAATATGTTTGCGCCGTTGGCTTTCCGATGCGAAAAATAAATTCAAAAAGGGGGAAGATGGAGTTATGAGATATGTGACGTTCATATGTAGTCGTGAAGGTCAGAGAACTTATGCTACAAGCGGTTCCTTGAAACCGCAACCAACATGTCAAACTGATTGAAAAGCAAGAATATCTGCATCTTTAGATAGTCTGGGAATATGGAGGATTAACAAAGTGTACCTTGACCACAATTACAAAACAAGCCCATCCAAGTCTAGGCTGTACTGATGCAACAGAAAATTGAGTGCAAATGTGAAACGAAAGCTTGAGGCGAAGATATGGCAGGAATTCCCTTACATAAGAGTTATAATTCTGCAGTTGTTGAGGCTGGTGGATATGAAAACACACTTTTGTGGAAAAGGATTGTCGGAACTACATTGAACAGGTGAGACGACTATGTCTTGGGGAAGGAGATGCCCTTGCAATACAGGCATACTTTTCAAAGATGCAGGCACGGTGCTCGGGGTTTTACTTTAGTATGGACTTAGATGATGACTACAGATTAAAGAATGTTTTTTGGGCAGACAATAGATGTAGGCAATCTTACAGAGAGTTCGGTGATGTTGTCACTTTTGATACTACCTACCTCACTAATAAGTACGACATGCCGTTTGCCCCTTTCGTTGGCGTAAATCACCATGTCCAATCCACACTGCTCGACTGTGGATTGTTGTCGAACGAGGACATAGGGACGTTGGTGTGGTTGTTTAGAACTTGACTTGAGTGTATGCATGGTCAAGCTCCTAATGCCATCATTACTGATCAGGACAAGGCAATGCAAAATGCCATTCAGATTACTCTTCCAAACACGAAGCATAGATGGTGCCTGTGGCACATTATGAAAAAGTTGCCAAAAAAGTTTGGATACCACGTTGAAAAGAGCTCGATATTTTTTTCTATACATGGACTGGTATATGATGCGGAGAATGTACAAGAATTCGAAAGAGGTTGGAGGTCGATGCTCGATATGTATGACTTACATGACAATGCTTGGCTATCAGGATTATATGAGAACAGAGGTCGATGGGTGCCTTGTTTTTTGAAAATCACATTTTGGGCAGGCATGTCCATGACACAACGAAGAGAAAACATGAATGCATTTATCGATGGATATGTGCATTCGAAAACCTCGTTGAAGCAGTTTGTGGAGCAGTATGAAAGAGCATTAAGAAATAAGGTGGATAAGGAGTTCCAAGCAGATTTTAAGTCCTATTCCCAGATGGTTCCGTGTGCGACAACATACGAAATGGAAAAGCAATTTTAAGCGATTTAGACCATCGAAAAGTTTAAAGAAGTTCAGCAGGAATTCACCGGGAAAGTATACTGCGACGTTGTATCTGAAAATGCCAATGACTATTATAGGTCGACTTACGAGGTTCGTGAGGATGTCGTTCTTCACGAGCACCGCAAGAAAAAATCTTTTTGCGTATCATTTCGGAGAGATACATGTGAATTGATTTGTAGCTGCCACCTATTTGAATTTCGGGGAATTATTTGTAGGCATGCAATTGCAATCTTGATTCGTAACGACATAACATCGATGCCTAAGAGGTACATATTAAGGAGGTGGAGACGAGATGTTAGTAGAGCACACTCGAGGATCGCAGTACATTACGATGGATTGGTCAGTAGTCCTGGACAGTTGAGGTATGACGAGATGTGCCGAATTTTTCAGAGGTGGCGGACCTGGCAGCAGATGACGAAGTATGGACACGCACTATAACGGAGTGGATGACATCGCAAATAAAAGAGTTACGAAAGTCTAAGTCAAGTGTTGGAAGCGTTGTCTACTCCCAGCCTAATAGTAGTGGTGGACACATATTGGATCCAGTAGCTTCTAATAGAAAGGGCGTATCGAAGAAACTTCGGAGGAAAGGACCATTAGAGTGTAGTTCAAAGAGGACGAAGGTATGTTTTACTATTACTATCTTTGTTTATAATGAATTTGTAACAAATAATCATTTCAATTGTTGAACATGCAGGCCACCGCACCGTCGAACAAAGGGAAGAGGCCTAGAGCTACTCAAAGTAATGTGGAAGAGGGATCAATCGATGCCCAGACGTCTCTACCACCACAATGTCCTATGCCGACACCATTACAATACTTCGTCCATCTGGAAACCACAAATGTCGTGGTCAATGCAGAAGGTTTGTATTAGGTATTTTTGTATGTTTTTTGACGTCACATTGTGTTTCAATGTTTACCATGTAAATCAGGTCGTGTTATGCCATGCTTCTATCCAGATTTTCCCCAGCAAGGTGCCACGCGCTTCTGATTTTTGGGGGGAAGGTACTAGTACACACATTTAGTACGAGCTACGTTTAATATTCAAGTTCATTTATGATTAATTTTTCATGTTTTACAGTTCATTCTATTTATAAGTTGGAGTAAACTGGAATATCATTTGATGTTTGGATCTACATACGTTGCAATCGGTTTTTTGATATTGATTATTTTTCTATTAATTTTAGTTAATTTGAGCTCATTCTGTGTTTTTTAAGCTGTTGTTGATCGTTGGAGATATTTTATACATAAGTTGAGTATTTAGGTGAATGCTACCATTTAGTAATTCATTTGAATGGCTTCATTTTTTCATTTTTTATTTTTTTGTTGGCAAGTTCTTATTGATCGGTGGAGTCTAGTGTGTATAAGCGAAGTAATAGGATGAATTTGATTTTCGAACTACATTTTTGTCTGTAATGTGATGGTGGAATTGTTTTTATTTTTATTTTTTGGAAATATTTTTCAGTCCTTCAATTGTGTAGCACTTTGATTGATTTGAGCTACTAATATACTTCTTGATTTGTCGTAACTCACAAACTGCTCGTTTGGAAATAAAAGATTCAACCTAGCTTGCATTTTCATTTTTGGTGATAATGATGTGGGGATTTGACTTCAACTCAAGTGCTTGTGTTGTCTTGTAATCATGGATACTTCACGAATGGTGTATCTGTGATCTTGGAATGTTCATTTTAAAATGTGGCTGGCAGTGACAAGTTCCAATTCCTGGATTTCGTGTACTGATGTACGTAGCTGATTACTTACTTCACGTTTAAGGAGTAACGTAACCAATGTCGATCATATTGAAGAGTCATACCTCATAGTACTACTAGTTAATCTTAAAATTCAACTATATTCTGGCACGCCTAACTTGTAATTTCACCAAATGCTTCCTCTAAGAGATGGTGTCAGTTAACAATAAAATGATGATTTTCATTATATTGGCTATACGTTCTTTCAAAAAAATTTCAAAATATAAGGATAAGATTGAAGAAAAACTTCTCTTTGTATTGGCAGTTCTTGAAGCTTTTTCTGCAAACAGATTTCCCTCCCTATTTAACAGTTGCCTGAGAAATTCTCATTATGAAATTATGAATAATATTGTGTTCTACTCACTTTACATATTTCGCCCCGGGAACTTGCTTCAAAAGGGGACATTTGGTGCTCTGATGATACATGCAGCAAATCCAAACGCCATTTTGCATTGAAACTCATTTTTGGAAGGTTTTCTATGAAATGGCAGCCAGCAGCTTCATGAAACTCGTCCAGGACATTGAAGAATATAAATTCTGCTGTAATGAAGAAACTTCTACTGTAATATAACTTCTGCTGTAATGAATAAACAAACAGCCAGAAGTTTTTCTATGATTTTGGGATTTTGTGTTTGACATTTCATGAATTTTTTGTGTCTGACATTTCATTTTGTGTACAAAAACTCTCCTCGGAATGGGGGTCCTAATTACATTATATGCCAAAGAATGGGAAAGAATATAAGTGTTTTGCTTTCTGAAAGAATTTGTTTACTTTTATTTGTCACTTTATTCTTATGGAAACATAGTGGTTATAGCTTCTCAATTTCTGAAGATTATAACTTCTGCATTACTGAAGAAACAATTAGTTAGATTGTCAATGTTTAGTTAACCTGCTACTTTGTTGGCAAAATTATCACGAGATAAGCTTGTGTAATGAATTAAAGTCAAAAAGCACAAATCAATTAAAGTGAGGCACAAACATATGAATCAGGACATTTAGGCAACATTAGACACAAAGCTTTGTCTTACAAACCACCATGAAATACAGATTAGACATACATAAGACCAATACATTATTATGCAAATTGAAATTCACATCATACTAGTGCCTCGACCGAAGACATGACTCAAATCACCCCCTCAATCTGACCTCTTTCCTTTCCCATCACAGTTGGCAATTCCCTTTCCCTTGCTAAAAGTCATGTGCAGTGATATGTCAACGCCTCGTTTCTCGCTAATTCTAGCTAACCCATCCTTTAGTCTTGGTAGATCTTTGTCTTCCTTGTCGGGCGATTGATTAACCGCATGCTGAATGGAACTCGATTCCCCACCTACATCTTCATCTTTCACCCAATCAAAGTACACGCAGTCATTACTACAGGTAAAGAACAATTGCCCTTTGTTACTGGTTTCTCGTTCGACCTCAAAACATTTTTGATATTAGTGGTCACAACTAGGGCATTGAAGTTTTAACTGGCATTGTTCGAAGTAGTGCCTATTGCTTTTGCAACCGTGATAAACTCCGAAATTTCTTTCTCTCATTCTAGCCAAGGTCTGAAAATGAAACAAACTCGTCAAAAAGATACATTCGAAGATGTAGTTAAATGATTGAAAATATCTCGTAATAAAAGTTCATCTTCCATCCATCGTACATACGTGAAATTCGGATTTATCCCTACAAACATAATTAAATAAAAGTTTAGGGTTTTCAATCATAACATACATGAAACAATTAGGCTGTGTTTTCAAGTGTCACTGGCATACTAATTTTGATTTTCCCATTATACAAATGGGTGTAGGACATTCATCTTCATCAAACAACAACAACAATTCTCATAATACATGTATTCAGAACAACTGATGTAGAAAATTCCTTCTTGATTTCCCCATTAAACCAACGGGTGCCGGAATTCAACAATCAGTGAAGACAATTATGAAAACCGAGTTACGAACAAAGCTAAAATGGTGGCACCCATCTTCATAAACCAAGAAGTCTTGTAATAAATGTAACTTACTCAAACAAAGATTAATCAACATCTAAAATCCAAACTTGTATAATGGGAAAACTTTGGACATTCAAACATGATATTTATAAAAAACCATGGAAAAAGGTGAGAACCCATGTCAAACAACAACTCCACAAACACTTACGTTGATGCTAGGGGATGAATGTGTGGCTGCGGTGACTCTGGCGCCGAGGACGGAGGTGAGGCCGGTGGCTGATTCTAGCGCACACTTGAGCGTAGGGCACGCTGGCTGCGAATCATTGCTATGGACAGTGTAAAAGTGATGGACACTATGGGGCTCATCGTCGGCGTCGGAGACGGTGACTGCGACGGTCAACTTGGCTGTGGGAGAAGTCGCGACTCCAGCAAATTGGGGGGAAAATGGGGGAACTCGTTTGGGTTTAGTCAGTCAATCGGGTTGCCCTTTCGTTTTTGACCCAGTTTTTTGGTCATTTTATATTGTCATTTTATGCTAACTCAGCCATTTTAAATTTCTGTATATTTTCTGTCAAAACGCCCATTTTGAATTCCTGTACCCATAGCCCGATTGTAAAAAGAATACCTCATGGACCATTCTGATGACAAAAAGCGGAATCGAAGTCCAATTTTCTTAACTGTATTGAATAAAATTTCAAATGCATGAAATATGTGTTGACATGATATTAGTATTTGGTCCTCATGAGATAAACTAGTTCCCACCAATAAGAGCATCTCAAAATAATCCTTAGTATACAAAAATTTCAACGAAAAGTGCAAAAACAACCATGCACCCAGAAACAGCAGACACACTTCTATACTAGTTCTTTGCTCATATTTCAAACCTAGAAGTGATAAAAATTGCAAAAGGCCCATTTGTTTGGCTAGAACTAGATACATGAGAATTTCAAACTCTCGTGATTATAATACATAAAAATCTGACTTCGTTAATCTTTTCAACAAATAAAATTAGGTTCAAGTTATAAAGATATATATATTTCAAGATGATAATCAAAATCAATTACTGTAAAACATGCTTTCATGCTTTTAACCGAATTTAAGTTGTGAAACTTACTTGAAAATATCAAAAACGAGCTTGAATTACTTACCTATTTATTGCTTGCCTCCAACACTGCCTTGTACCCTTTTCTTGGTCAAAATTCGATCACTAAGGAAGAAGTTTGTTGTTCATAATCCAAGAACCCAATTTGAGATGTAATTTTCCCAAAAATCAAGTCTCCACACACATCCAATTTTTACACCTTGAAAGAACATGAATTTTGAATTCTTGTGAATTTCTTGTAGTTGGTTGTTGGTGGAATGGGTGTATATGGGAAGTTATGGATTAAGGGAGGTTATTTTTAAATTTGATTTTCAACTCCTCCCTCCAATAATTATTTTTATACAAACAGGGTCGGGTCGGGTCAATCCACATAGACAACTCATTTTCTTCCAACATCCCCCACTCGCACATGATGGGTTTGACCTGATTCTAATACAATATCAATTATATTAATCTCAACATCTCCAAGTTCATACAGGTAAATGGATCGTGCGACCAACGAGTTAATTTAAGAGCACACAATACTATAACATGTAAGGGATATATAGCAGCTCTGAAAGAGGAATTATATTTCTCGTTATACCCCAGACATATTTTGTAACACTAGTTCGAGTATTTCTGACCCCTTAATTTATTTTAGAATAT